GAAACAGTGTCGAACAATATGTATCCATTGATTTAAAACATTGATTGCAATGATTTTGCTGTCAACACCTTATGCTGATAAAACAGTGATCGTGGAACTTGTGTTAGATGATAAGTATGGATGTGGATACATGTGGGTGTCATGTGGGCGTAAGCTAATAAAGATAACAATACCCACATCCACACTCACACTAAACAGAAGTGATAAGTTTGTTCAGTTTTTTGCAACACCTGAACAAAAGTTAGATTGGGTATTTTTACAAAGTTCAACTCTGAGGGAATTGGAAAGAATCTCATTTTGTAGCTCTTTCTTCAACCTTTTAGAATCAATCAAAACCCCCTTTTGTTTTCCTATTTTCTTAAGATACTGTAGAAACACTGCACAGAAGTAATAAGAGAACTGTATGTTTTTCATATTGAACCAAACGATTTTTACACTATTACTCAGGAAAACTTCAACCGTTCGGGATGAAATTTTTATCAGAGATAGAGTATGAGATGAGCAGCGGTTTGAGAGAAGTTTCTCTTCAGAGTATCTTATTTCAGAAAAAAAACATATTTGATTTATTAGTGTATGAATTATATATTTATGATATCAAAGCGTTTTGTAGTATTTCAAGGAAAGTTCGTCAAAACTCTTCGAAAACAGCTTCATTTTGTGACCAAACGATTCCTCGTGAAATTCTGCTCCTAGTACCCCATGAACGAATCAAAACTACCGATGACCCAAATATTGCTCTTATGCGCCTCCGTTCTTTCTGTGATCTGCACTTTCGTCAAGTAAGACAATATTGTTATAGGTGAAACTTCTATGTCATACCCATATGTTTTTTTTCGACCAAAGTTGAGAAAGCAGCATTTTGACAACATAGTTTTTCTCCCAGAAACCATTGAGACTCTATCATTTTTAAGTATTATACATGTGAATTTTTTCATTAGTGTGCATAAGGTAGTATAACTTAAGACAAAACAGTGAACAACAGACTATTGATGTCTTAACTCGAAAATCTTGTGTGAAACTTTTTCTTGAAATTCAACCATATCTCCTATCAAAGTATTTCTTCCTCATTCTCTCAAACTCTTGATAATGTTTTTTCGAGAGTGTAGATGTGTGAGTCTATAAGCTACACTATTCAGTTCAACGACACTCTCACCCATACAACTACCAAGAACCACACAGAACCCGATCCCCGTCCACCCTCACCAAAGTCACGCAAACCCACTGTCCCCCCATCCTAGGCAGACCCACACCAACCACATCGACACCGGCACCCACCAGACATCCACACGCACTGCCTACCCACAATCACACTCATGGCGTATTCTCAAGATAACCACACTCATACGTGCTCTGTATTTAATTATGATTGGAAAGGTTGTGCACGAAAGTCAAGATGGTTTAAATGTTGTACACGAAGGCATGGGGAAACATGACTATTTTGGCAATAACTAACGGACAGACGGCCGGACGGACATTCTCATCGGTTCTTGAGTGTGCTCATTTTTTGAGTGCAAATAAAGAGTCAAGACGCAGATTGAAAAACTTCGTGGCAATTTACGATAGCTTAGAAAGTTTTTATCGAGTTACAGTTATAGAAAGTGTCAATTAATTTTTAAAGTTTGCAATAAAAGTTTAATATCTTCGCAAAAGTGTTATAGATTTGTGGTCGAATTACACCGATTCTGATCATATACTTATTACAACATTTCTTAAATCTCTGGAAATTAGCAAACATCACCTGGCTGTGTGTTCCCTAACAACGTCATCGCTAATGTGGAAAGGTATTGGAAGGGAATACATTTCTTCGTTGTTGTGTTTACCTGTGAGCGTCAATAAAATTCAGTGCTATCACAAATCGGTTATTATGGCAACTCTCTTGTGCTTTGGAGTTATGACTTTGTGCTTCTATGACAGATCTCCGAGGATCTCTTACCCACAGTTCCAAGATAAACATGATATGAATTACAAAGAAGCGTTTGTAGAGACTCCATGCATTGAACCGAACTGTGTGACCGAATGCTTAACACTATATCCAAGTCTAAGTTTACCCAATTCCAATTATGAAAAAAACCTATCGGATGAACAGAAACAGCACTTATTAATTGATATGGGCGCTGATCGATTAGTAAATGACATGATTAATGATTACCCTTCACCGAAAGAGTGTTCTGATGGATCACGAAACAAAACTTTGCAAACTAATATGTCGAACATCAGTATATTTTACTTTCCTCTTTCTTTCGGCTTCTTAGAACACTACATGTTTCCTACGATCCAGAAAACTATGGTTATTAATAGCAACAAAACACAGGTACAGCAGATCTGTATTCCAGTAAAGTCAAAAGATTTCAGTGATCTGATACCTGGTCAACGCGAGACGTATATATTTGGCTTTGGAAACGAGTTAGATTATCGAAGTGCCTACAGTTCTGCATATTTTGCTGTAACTATGAAAAAAGGAGGATTTGATTGCAACCGTCATTACGAAATTATTTCATCCGGCACTATGCCATACTTTGAAAAGCTTGAGCAAGCCGGAAATCTGACACTGATACATCTACCAAAGAGTCTACTGCTGGAAGCTCGTTCCATGGTTGGTGTTGAGAGAGATAAATTAAGCATCAATCATAGCAGTTTCAATGACACTCAATATCGCATACTCCTACACCGATTGCTTTACTATTCGATTCATCGTCTAACAACTCGAAAATTAGTAGAATATATGCTCAGAGCCATAAACTATCCATTCGAACTGAATCAAACAATTTTATATATAGCGCACGAGAAACCTGATTACATGAAAGATTTCATGTTACACGGATTCACACTAATATTTGGTAGTAATTTACAAGTATACAATCCTCCTGCTTACTTATACGTATATCCGAGAGATATGCCATGGACGCAAAAAAAGGCTGAAGCATACTATGGGTGTCCTTTGTATGGATTAGGTTTTGGATATGTATTGTCCTTAAGAAAGTATCGAGACCTCTACGAACGTGATAATAAACATTTCAAGAATGACTCCATAGTGGAAAAATACATCGCATTCAAACGATACTCGCTCATCGTATTCGGCTCAATTCTACGTCGCAATCATCTCTTCTCCCACGTCATACGCTATTATGATAAATCAAGAATAATCGCGATTGATGGAGAAGATGAACGTAGAAGAGATGAAAGATCAACGTATGCGAAAAACTCCATGTATTTTCTACGAGAAATACCCAATGACTGTGATGACTTTAGTTAAAGTAACATTAGGACTTCATGGCGCAAATGAACTACAAAATACTTCAAAATTTCTTTATAACATATGAATAGAAACAGGTAACGTTCGTCAGCATGACTCGCTTGACCTTCGACTGAAGGATTACCTGCTATCCAGTTTTGTTGAGTGTGGCTGCGGATATGAAAGTCTTATTTAGACTAATAAATACTGACACCCACACTACCATTCACACCCCATACCTACACACATACTCCGAGCAATACACATAATCATTCAACAAAACGTAAAAGACCTATGCATTATGCCGCCGATATCTATATGTGTCCCAAAAAAACAGTGTATGTTCAGCTCTCTCACAGATAATGATTCAAAATATATTCACAACAATCTTGTAACAACGTGCTATACCCTTTTAAATATCTACCAAAAACTCCGTTTCCTTACTAAAACATAAGCTAGCAGTATTGTTTAATAAACGGTCTGCTTAAAACAGATGAGTTCAGGAGAAACTTTAGCTTAAAATTAATCATATTAGGCCTAGATTGTAATCGAACTATCATACTTGAAAGAAATTCGTACTTAGAGAGCCGCTCGGCTATATAGGTAATTTGGACATGCCCCTATACATATCAATATTCGAATGAGTACATTTAAGGAAACACTCCAGCAGAAAACCTTGTGTATTTCATTCAAGCCTCATTTCAATAAGTTGAATATGGAATTTTCAAGTGATTGTTTCCGTTAAATACACTATACATATATTGTGCATGGGCAGAAAAGGCGTTATTACAGTTGACTTCAAAACATTTCTCAGTTCAAAGCAACTGCTACTCCTTATTCGGATCCATTCAATCTTGAGGGAGTTGGTGTGTCGTTGTGGTTGTGTGTGATTGTGGGTATGGGTTGAGGGTGTGGGGTGTGGGTATAGGTGTGGGTGTGGATGTGGGTGTGGGTGTCCGATCTGGTGAGGATGAGAAGAACCACACTCACACCCACACCCACACCCCACATCCACACCCTTTGGCTAAGATTACAAAACGACCTATTTCACTCATCTGGTCAAGTAAATTCGATTTAGAAATATTTTCTAACAAGGTATCAGATGCTATTTATTTTCTTGCAGTTGCAGTTCAGGAACTAAGTGATACTGGTCGAGACAGAAGATAAAATCATTAACATTAAAAAAAACACCGATTGATCATTACTTTTTTCTTTGTATACTTTCATCACAATCTAATATTTTGTATTTAAATTAAGTCAATTTAAGAAATTTTCAGATGATGTATATCAATTTTCGCTTCAAATAGATTTCAGATAAGATTTTCGGGAAAAAAAGAACAGAAATAAATGTAATAATTAGCACAAACTATTTATAAAAAAAATATGTTTCAATGATTTGTATGAAATATTACTAACGGATTTAAGCTTGAGTTCAAGTTCAGTTAACGACTAAAAGAGAATAGAACTAAATCGAAGCAAAGGATTATAATATTGACAATCGAAAGTAGAGATATAGTGAAAAAACACTATGTAAAATTTGGAAGACTAAACATCTTAGAAGAATAGTAGCAGTAGTCAAGAATATTCGAACTGATTTCAGATGTTTCCAACACAGATCAAGTAATTTCAAAAACGTTTTAACATTCACTTAAATACTTCATAATACTCTAAAATTAATTGACATTAAACAAAACTATATCAATATGAAAATTAATGTATTCGTAAGATGAAACGCCTAGTTTATTTGAAATATACAAAGAAAAAGTATCTAAACATTATTAGGATTATTTTGATGACCAAGAACACGATATTTAAGATCCTAAAATAAAAAAATAAATAAAAAGAAACGGAAATTTGAACAAACTTACTTCGACCATTTTATGTATTTGATTAGCTTTTGAACCAGCAGTTAACATACCTGTATAAACATTTTTAGCTGTTGCAACTAAATCTAAAAAAAACAATACAAATTTAAAATAAATCGAAACAGTTTTTTTTTGCCGTCGATAGTAACACCTAAACCATTTGTTTGTAAACGTTTTTCAGCACAAGCTAAAACATCTTGACATTGTTTATAATTTATTTTAATATCTTCAACTTTTTGCATTAAATAACTAAATAAAAAATAAAATAATATTATATTTGAATAAAGAAGAATATTTACTTATCAACAACACGATCTTCAATATCAGCACCTAATGAAAGTGATCGTAAATATTTACAAATAGTTCCATTATAAAGTTCTTGTTGATATGCTTGATTTATTTGAGCAAATGTAGCTTCATCTCTTTGAACATCACTTTGAATATCTAAAACATATTGTTATACACATACAAGGGGTGTGGGTGTGGGTGTGGGTTCTGTTGAAGAGTAGATCCATACTCGCACCGACACCCATACCCGCACCCCACATCCTTGATTTTTCAAGTACTTGTGCGATTTTATTAGTGTTTTTAAAAAAAAAGTCTTTTTTGACAGGTACCTTATTTCCAAGGTATTTTTTGAAACTTTAATACTGTTCTAATAAAAAAAAGATCTTCAGAGGTTTTTTTTTAAGGATACCTGACTTTTAAGGTATTTTTGGGACTATAATCGCTTTTTTAATAAAGAAAGACCTTTTTTTTGAAAGGTACTTTATTTTTAAGATATTTCTGAGACCTTAATACTATTTTAATAAAAAAAGATCTTTAAAGATCCTTTATGATAGGTACCATATTTCTAACGTATTTGTGGATCTTTGATTTTATCGGATGGGTCGTATACGGCCGTGTACGATGGTTTACGACGATGAACGCTGGCGTCTACGACCGTACTCGTCAGAAACGGTTTCATGTTATGGCACAAATACGGTCGTCGTAAAGCTTGATCCGAGGATATTCAGCATCAACACACTCGATTACCTATTGTTCACTAAGTTTTAGCTCAAAAATAAAGGGCCAGTTGATGCCTTCCTTCGTAAGTTATGACCTATTTATCGGAAGCTCCAATTATACCACAAGATGATTGGACTCATCCCATGCTTATCTTGAAACTGTAGATGGTTTCACAATTTTTGTCCGATTTTGGTCGAAGTAGTCTCAACACATTGCGATATTACACATATGTAACAAAAGATCAGCGATAATGAGCACTTTCCAGGTGCAGATGATCTACCTGAATTGGGTGTGGGTGGGTGTGGGGTGTGGGTGTGGGTGGG